CTCAAATGGTACAACTGGAAATGAAAGCAGAGACCCAACCAACATGTGGGAGTTAAGTTGTATATGTAGGGACAAGTACTAAGCTTTACTCAACTGCACACTCTGTCCTACAGAAGGAGGCGGCGTGTAGCTGGGCTGAGGACATAAGGGTTTTCCAAGGGGCCTGTTCAGTTATTACAGGCCAGTTTCCACCTATGTTAAATGTACTGTAGAGCAGGACAAGAGGGAAACTGAAGAGACTGAAGGACCAGGGAGGAGGGAAAGGATCTTGAATGGATTTGCAACTCAAACAGAGCTCTTTGAAGGAAAGCTATTTAAATCTGAGCTGTTCCTAATATTAATTATCCTGAACATCTCACAGGCTCAGATTCACATGCTACAAAGCCTTTTAATTTTCCTACCTGTCCCTGGCACTAGTGACGATAAATCAGATATACAGAGAAACCACAAAAAAACCACACATGACTAACGAACCAGCCCGTTAATGGGGAGCAAAGATCATTTGCCAAGATGACTTATTCAGACACTGTCACATATCATAACCAGCAATACCCTGGCGGCCGAATGCAGCAGGCACAGAGGGCAAGAGCTGGGGCGCTCCCTGCCAAATCACAGGCACCCTCCGATGCCTACTATCTAGGCATGAGAGATTTTACTCATGGGTGCCACCTCCACTCCCTCAAGTCAGATTTGCCCTTGGAAAATTGCTGCAACTTCTAAAAGGCCTGCTGGGTCACTGAGCTGCTAAGCTTCTAAACCTGACTATAGCTCTTACTTTGAGGCTCCTTGGAATTCCAGGTACCCTGAGGGAGAAGACCCAGCCTCGGCCACTAGCAACCTTAACTGTTAGTTTATACATCTTTAATGTAGCCATTCATTCAAGTATCTGAGTTCCAACTAAACGTCAGACCCTATTCTAGGTGCTTGGGCAGATCCATAAACAAAACAGTAAAGAGGTGGAAGTGGAGGAGAGAGAAGGGTCCCCTAAATGACAACCTCTTGGTTTTACCATAAAGACTGAGGTCCAGTAATAAACAGGAATTTCCAGTCAGAGTTAATGGAACAGCTACGACTTGACCCAGCTTGGATTCTTAACAGAACTGCGGCATAGAGTGGTTTATAAGAACACTGGGCCAACTGCACAGGGAAGGTGGGGAAATTCAATCCACATTCTCCTCACCCAGCCCTGCACTCTGGAGTGGTGCTGGTGCTGCATCTGACCAGAGGAAGGAGCCCTTTCTGTGGTTTGTTTGAAAACACCATATGGTCAAGGGCAAGTCCCAACGCGTTCTCAGTGCCCCAGCCAGCCTAATTCCCTTTTATAACAAGCCCCCTTCACTGGAAGGAACAGGTTCCCCAGAACAACCACCAAGCACTGGCCAGGCACGGAGGCTTGTGCCTGTAATCTCAGCACTTTGGGAGGCTGAGGCGAGTGGATCACCTGAGGTCAGGAGATGGAGACCAGCCTGGCCAACACAGCAAAACCCCATTTCTACTAAAAACACAAAAATTAGCCAGGCATGGTGAGGCGCCTGTAATCCCAGTTACTTGGGAGGTTAAGTCATGAGAATCACTTGAACCTGGAACCTGGGAGGCGGAGGCTGCAGTGAGCCAAGACCACACCACTGCACTGTAGCCTCGGCGACAGAGCAAGGCTCCGTCTTAAAAAAACAAAACAAACACAAACAAAAACAACAACAAAAACACAACCAAGAATCATGGGTAGGACCCAGGGCAGTCTGAATTCTTCCACTGAGATATAACCCAAAAAAGCTGTACATTTCCATGTGTGAGACAAGTCTGTTTGAACCTGAATCCATAGGAAACCCGCCTATGAATGACATCCCCCATTTCCTATATTATCCTCAGATCTGAAAGGCAAGGCTACTACCAAGCCTTCACCCCTTTACATTCTAGCCAACACCTTTACTCTTCATGATTCCAAGCTGAGGGTAATGGGAATAATGAACTTAATCAACAGCCTGAATGTCTACTCTTGGCTAGGTGCTAGACAGAGATACAGCAGTGAATATCACGACCCCATCAACACCACCACTGCCACCACACCATTGTCCCTGATTTCCAGTACAAGATATCTCAAAACAGAGTTCGGAAAGCCCAGCTGCTATGGAGTCCCTGACCAGACTGGCAGCTCACTTAGGGGCCAGGGCCAGAAGCAAGAGGGTCTATAACCAGCTTATTCTCCTCTCCCTCACCCCATTGTACAAGAAGGTCCAGGAAGGAGAGGTGGCTTACCCAAAGTCAGACAGTTGAGAGTGAGCTGAAACTCCAACCCATGTTCTTTGGGTCTCCTCTCTCCACCACATTGCTTTTGCCAAGGTTCCAAAATTGGAAAGTGAGGAAAAATAGTTGATTCTAGTGACAGAGTGTTTCCTGACGTATGCATGTCCAGAACCTGCAGCCTCAACCATCTTATCAACACAGACCTGGTGACCATGTCCATCTCTCAGGATGCTCATGAATACACGGTGTTGATCCAGAGTCCAAGCGTCCAGTTTTCACTCATGCTCATTTATCACCCTCTCTGACTCTCTCCTGATATTTACTTTCACTTTAAAATCTTATAAGAACAGGGCCTTTTTTATCTGATGCCAGCTCCCCCTCTGTTCCTTGGATTTAATCAATCCATGTCTGGAAATAAACAAACCAGAGAGGAAAGCAACAGTCCCTTTTGTGAAAACAGGCACCTTTCTAAAATGATCTACCCCTGGGCATGACGCAGATAGAATTTAAATGTGAAGGAAATAAAGACATACTCCAGCAACCATCATATGCGTTCTTCCTGGGGTGGGACAGCAGGAATGGTAACTGTGTTAACAACTAAACCAAAAACCACTCTACATCTTTCGGGTTGTAATGGGAGCGTGGTCAGTGGCAGGAAGCCTGAAGAGTCAATAGCTTTCAAAACACAGAAACCAGTCCTCTCCATTCTGAGAAGCTTAAGGTCTTCAAGATTAGTAAGCGAGGGCTAGCTGAACACTAACTCCAAGTACATGCAGCATGCCTCCAGCTAGTACCAGGGGGTGCAAGAAGATGCCAGCTAGAAAGATCCAGACATCTGGCCACCAACTTAGACCTTCTCCCATCACATTACTTTATACTCGCCTGCAAAGCACAGAATCCTCACCCCTCTTACCGCCCTCCAGTCACTCCAGCAAGCATCATCCAAGACTGCTGGCAAAAGAAACTGTCTTACACAGAGAAGGAAAATCAAGTTCCCTACTAGCCAGCCCGCCCTTCTTGCCATGACTCCCAGCCCCAGGCATTCGGAAATGGACCACCATCTAAGTGCAAACACAGAGAGTATCTCTTCTGAGGAGGACGGTAGTTAATTCTTTAACCCTTTGGGCAGTTTGAAAATCCGATAGCACCTCTGGATGCCCCATGAAAAACTGCATGTATGCAATTTATATGTAATTTCACTGGGGGTCACTGCCCTCTAGGAGGTCGAGAGGGGCAAAAAGAGCCACTGTGCTCAGAAGCAGCTTTGAGAAAGAGCTATGGGTGGTGCTTTTGAGTATTCGACAGCTTAGTTCCTTAACAAGAAAGGGAGAAATTAATGCCCCTTACTTAGCTACTGCAAGTTCCAGCTTTCAATCAACCTGAGATTTCAACAGGAATCTGGAAACTGAGAGCACACAAACATGCACACACACACACATACACACCAAGCACTCAGCTTCCTTGTGGCTTCCTATTGTAACTTCACAAAATGTCCTGTGATTGCTAGTTAAGTCTCCAAATAAAGTAACAGCAGAGATAAAAAGTGGAAGAGAGGTGGGTGCTGGAAGGGAGAATAGTTCAGACAAGAAGGGGATAATCTGGCTAAGCTCTCCATCGGCTCTGAGCAGGTCTTGACAGAGCAGGTCCTGGTCCTTGCTGCCTGCTCTTCCTGGAAATCAGGGCTGACCTGCTGACTTCTTTGCAGCAAATCAGAAGTCCAGGCAAAAGCAGCCCTTTCTTTCCTTTGAGTCCATGGGGAGGGGAGAGCATCCTCTCGTTTCTAAGGAGGAGACCCTGGCCCACAGCTTGCCCACGGCCCCCTCGTGGCCTGGGGGTGTCACTGCAGCCCCCTCTGCATTGCTGGGCACCATCCGCACGCAGGCAGTTCTAACAGTGGTCCAGTAGAATATTTAGTCAGCAGTAGCAAACTGGCAACTGTCTTCAAGCCTCGTGAGGCTTGTGTTTGCTTCTGATTTCTTAAACTAAGATTCAGACTTAAAGTGATCCTTCTAAATCCCTCCTCGTACAATCCCTACAGGGAACCAGCTCAAGACCTGCTTCATTAAGCCAATAACCTCGGAGCTTCCGTAACATGACCACTGCTTTATCATCTCTTCCTGCATCAGATGCAATTATGTACAATCGTGTACAATTGTTCCAAAGCTCAATAGAAACAGAATGCACAACATCCTCTGGTTTGTAGGTTGCTTATTAGATTACAAAATATTTGCAGGACACCAAATATCCCCTTAAATCCTGGGTTTTCAGGTAAGCAGGTCCTACAGGGGTTTTGGACTTAAGGTTACACAGTGAAAAAGAATGGAACCAGTGACTCTGTGTCCATAAATGCAAAAAGCAGGTGCACTAAGAAACCTGAACTCCTCTCTCATTAGCAACTCCGCAAAGGGAAGGAGTGGGGCTCACTGGGGCTGGAGGTTGGACAGGACAGACCAGAGTCTGGGAGTGAGGGGGCAGTTGGTCTAGGGGTTCAGCTGCCATCTGTCACGGTGGGGACGATTAACTGACCCGAGTGGTGGGAAACTGTGTAGGGAGGAGAGAAGGTGGGACACTTGGGAGGAAAGAGGAAGGTGCAAAGTGTAGTCTGCAGGGTCATAAGTAGACCCGGGACCAGGAGTGACCGAGGCAAGGGAAAGGGGTGGGAGCACCGGGACCAGGAGTGACTGAGGCAAGGGAAAGAGGATCTTCTCCTTAGTGGGGGCAATTGGTGGGAAGAATTGTGGGGGCTGAGTTCATACCTCCTTGACTTTCTCCCGCTGGGCTCGCACTCGGCTCTGGGGCTCCTGACTCTCATCGGCCCTCATTCCCAGGACCGGGTGGCGGAGGCGGCTCCGGAATGCGTTGAAGTCAAAGCGGAAAGAGACGCCCTCGTCCCCGGGCCTGGAGGCCGGGATGCTATTGCCCCGGGCCGCCGTGGCCTCCTCGCGGGGCCCGGTGGGGCGGGTGCGCCGCAGCCCCCCTTTCCTGCGGCGGGGACTGGCCCGGCTGCTGGGGTCATCCTCGCCCGGGGCCGGCGCGGCAGGGGCCGGGTTGGGAGGCGGCTCCTGCTCGCGGGCTGGGGCATGGCCGGCGATTTCGGCCACCACCTCCAGGCCAGGCTGCTGGGTCCGGGGGGCCAGGAAGAGGCGCTTGAGGCGAGAGGAGTGGGGCAGCAGGAAGAGGGCCCCGAAGCACAGGGTGACGAGGCCCGAGAGGAAGAGGAGGAAGAGGAACTTCTGCGGCAGCCGCAGCCCCCACGGGGAGGCCGGGACGAAGCCGGGCACTTTCCTCATGAGCATCTTGGCCGGGCCGGGGGCTCCAGAGGCCCTGAGAGTCCAGGCACGTGTCTGCGGGGCCGCGGTGAGGAGAGGGCGTCCGGAGCGCCGCCCGGGATGGGGATCCCTGGGCAGGGCTGCCAACCCTGAGAGTTTCGCCGCTTCGGGGGACTGTCCCCGAAGTTCAGGGAGTTTGGAGTGAGTCCTCCCGCAAGGAGGCGGGGGCGCAGCAGCCTCGGCGGGGCCCGGGCGAGCGGAGCGGCACAGCTCGGGGCCCGGGCCCGCAGCGACCGGCCGCGCGCCGCAGCCTCCCCTCCGGCCGAGCCCTCCCCGCCGCGCCGGGGCCCGCGCCTTCCCGCGCTGCGGCCTCCGGGGCCGTCACATGCCGTCCGCGACGTCCCGGCTGTCCGCGCCGAGGGGCGCCCGCAGGCCCGCACCGAGCCGCCCTCCGCCCCCCGGGCTCCCGCCTGCGCTGGTCGGCGCCCAAAGTTTCAGCTTCAGAAACAGTTTCCGGAGGGGACCGAGGTGATGGGGTGCTGGCGTGTCAGCGCCGCCCCGAGCGCGCGCACACCCGGCCCGGTCGCGACAGCGCCCGGTTCGACTATCGGGACACGTCCACAACTTTCTCCGCCGCCGAGCGGGCGCCGGGAGCGGCCAGGGAGCAGGAGAAGGCACTTTCGAGCCTGCGGGGGTAGGGGGCTTCCCCGGACCCCCGAGAGCGCAGGGATGCCCGAGTCCGGAGCCGCGGCTGGGCGGCTGCAGCTGCGCCCGGGAGCGCGGGTTCCCGCCCCTCCAACTCCGTAGGGCGCGGGGCTCCCGCTGGGATCACCTGTTCCCGGCCTTGCCGGCTCCGCGGAGCCCGCAGCCCCGGCCGCGCCTCCCCCGCTGCAGCTGTCGTCCTCGCAGCGACCGCTCCAGACGGGCCGCCGCCGCCGAGCCTGCGCCTCACACGCGCGCACAGCCGCCGGGCAGCCTCCGCCGCCGTCCCCGCCGCCGCCGCCGCTCGGTCTTTCACTGCGACAGCGTTCGCCGCCCCGCCTCCTGCCGCCCGCCAGCCACGCCCGCCGGCCACGCCCACGCGCGCGCCCCGCGCCCCCTCCCGCCGCCGCCGCGCCGCAGAGGGGCTGAGGGCCGCGCGTCCGGGGGCGGGGCAGAGGCAGAGCGCGGGCGGGAGCGCAGCCCGGCTCCAAGCCCCGCCCTCCCCGAAAGGCCGGCGTCGCGCGCACCCCCGATCCCGCCGGCGCCAATGGTCCAGCGGCGGGGGGCTGGCGAGGGCGGGGGCGGAGATCGCAGCGAGGGCATTGGCTGCATCCGAGGGATCCCCGTTGGGCCACGGTCGCCTATTGGTTACTGCCCAGTCTTCGCTGGACCCCGAGCGACCGAGACCACCCCTCAACCTGCCCGCGAGGCTCGGGTTGGTGGCCCCCGGAAGCGGGCCGGAGACAGTGCTGCTCTGGAGGGCTGTGCCCGTCGCTGGGTGACCTCTCTCGCCCCCCAGTGTCAGTCCGGGGTTGTCAGGGAGCTGGCAGCCCGCGCCCTGGCGGCTGCCCGGGCTTCTCAGCGCTAACGCCGAGCCGCGGCGATGCTGTTCGTGGTTGGAGCCAAGCCAGAGAGCTGTGACCGCGGCGGGGTCGGCGGAGGCGGTGTTTCCACTAACCCCCCTCAGACCACTGCGTGCCTTCCTTTTCCTACAACCCTAAACGGGGCCAGGGCCCCTGGGTGGAGCAGGGAGGGAGGCTGACCGCAACCTTGAGAAGCAGCGAAAGGAAGAGCGCCCCGAGCGTGTCTACAGAAGACCACACACATCATGTGACGGACGTGTACCTTGATGCCTACGTGTGTTTATATGCACATGTGTGCGTCTGGGCATAGATCCATATGCACACAGAGACTGGCATGTGGGTGTATACATGCACTCAAACATACACTTAATTTGGGTATGGACACCCAAGTGATTATACCACAGTATGCATAGACATATATGCAAATTAGTACAAACATGGACATGTGCACCCGCATACCCACATTCAGGCAACAGATACCTCCAAAAACAGCCGGGCATCAACTCCCAGACACGCGTGTCCTCAACCGCAAGGCCGTCACACCTTCCTCCTTGGACTTAGTCTCTGCATCTTCCCTTCCTGTAAACCTAACCCAGGGTGAAGCAACATTGTGCTGTGTGGGTCTTTCATGCAAAACACTTTATAGAGACAAATAACAGCAGAGGGAGAGACAAATTAAGAGGTTTGTAATAGGCAAGAGGGAAAATATCTACTTTCAACTGCAATTTAAAATGAAATGCAGCATTGACGAGACAGAAAATACTGCAGGGAAGCCTTTCCCAACAGAAGAAGGGGGCCAGGCAGGCTCTCTCCTCGTAAATCTTGCTTCTTCCCTGAGGTCTGATGCGGATGGGTGGCTGGGACTCAGTCATCCTTCTACCTCTGTCCAGACAACTGACAGCAGACCCACCCTCGATGTTTAAATATCCCTGGCATGCAACTTTCTCTCAACTGAAAATGAAAGTGGGGTAACAGGTGCAAACATTTTGGTCACTGGAGATGACTAATCCTTCCCAATCCCACAAATACATGCAGCTTAAATATAAAATTCTAATTCAGATATTTCAATCTCTGGTGAGTTTGGTTGGCAGGTTGATGTGGAACCAGCTGTGCATGTCAGAGATAAGCATGTGACCCTTTTGGGTGCAGGAGCCCAGAGACCTGGCCTGGCCTCACCCATGTCGCCAACACCCAAGCATCATCTCACTGGGTCTCAGTGCAGGAAAGGGCAACCATGTGTTTGGAGAACCAGGCAGGGAGCCAGCATTCATTAGAGTCGTCATCTGCATTGTTCCTCATTGAGAGTGTAGGGGAATCACTGTTCAGTCCCCTGTGAAGGTAGGATCCAGAAAGGGAGAAGAGCAGAGCTGAATCTCAGAAGGAAATGTCTGTTTGAACTAGATGCTCACTGTGATATGACACTCTGACCAAACTCTGCTATGCTCCGTGAGCCAGGGTAGAAAGTGGGACTGCAGCAAGACTGACGTGCCTTTCAAACTCAGGCTACGAAAACTAGAGGCCCCAGCAGGTAACTCCATTTCAAAGTGATGTGATGTTGGTGATCACACCAAGTTGTTGATACCATCACTTGCTAGGGAGATACCAGTCTCTCTCTAAAAAGCTTTCTGAAACCCTGGGTGTCCCCTTGCCCCACACCTCTAGCCCCCAGAGACCTCATACATCCCGTGGCTCTTCTCCCACTGACTTGTGACTATTGGCGTGCTTTCCCAAAGCAGGTGCTCCGTTCTTCACCATGGCTTGCTGACTTCTCTAACTCTCTAACTTATCTAACTGCCCAGGTCTTAATCACAATGCCTTCCACATGGGCACTGCGTTTGCTCAGTAAATGAATGAAGAAATGAGTGAGTAGATGCCCATTTCACAGATGTGGAAACTGAGGCTCAGGGAATGGAACAACAGTGAACTAACATTTTCTATGTGCCAAATACATATTGTCTCATTTACTTTCTAGAATAATCTTTGTGGTAGATAATTATTAACAGCCCCATTTTACAGATAAGAATACCAAGGAGACTTGGGATGAGTTATAAGTATCTATATTAGAGTTCTCCAGAACAACAGAACCAATAGGCTATATATAGATATATAAAAAGAGATTTATCATGAGAGATTGACTTCTGTGATTATGGAAGGCTGAGAAGTTCCACAGTCTGCCGTCTGCAATCTGGAGGTCTAAAAAACTGGTGGTGTAGTTCCAGTCCAAGCTAGGAGGCCTGATAGTGTAAATACCAGTCTGAGTCTGAAGACCAGAGAACCAGGAGAGCTGACGTCCAAGAACAGGAGAAGATGGATGTTCCAGCTCAAGCACAGAGCATGGATTTGCCATTCCTCTTCCTTTTTGTTCTGTTTGGGCCATCGGTGGATTGGATACTGCCCATCCACATTGGTAAGGGCAGATCTTCTTTACTGAATGTACTGATTAAATTACTAATCTCTTCCAGAAATTCCCTTACAGACACACCCAGAAGTGATGTTTTATCAGCTATGTAAGCATCCCTTAGCCCAGTCAAATTGACACACAAAATTAACCTTCACAGTATCTTTCTCAGTTTAATTCAGAAATTCAAACGGAACTGAGAACAGAAACAAACAGCTATTTCTAAAAAATCTATTCATTCTGTCAACAAATCTTTATTCAAATTAGATGCAAGATACTGCACTAGTTTTGGACACAAAGGTGAGCAAAGCATGGTCCCTTGTTACTATCGATTAATTCATTCAGTAAAAAACTACTTATTGAACACCTGCTATGTGCCAGGTACAGAGAGGCAGGGGATACAGCCCTGTCACAGACGTGAAGCCTGCCTTCATGGAGCTTCTTGTCTAAAAGGCAACAAACACAGACCAATCTGGCCCATCAGGAGGGGAACCCCCAGGCATCAGTGTTAGTGCTTCACTCACATGCTGTCTTACCCTCACAACAGCCCTCTCTGAGGTAGGTCTCAAGAACCCAGTCTAGCAGATGGGGAAATTGAGACTCAGGGTGTGACGTGACTTGTCCAAAGCCACATAGGGCAAATATGAGAGGAAATCAGGCCCATCTAATCACAGAATCTATGTGCTTTCTGTTAATGATATTAGCAACTACTAAGATTGATGGAGCACTTACTATGTGATTGAGCCCTTTTAAAAACATGTTAAAGACTAAACTGGCCAGGCACAGTAGCTCACGCCTGTAATTTCAGCACTTTGGGAGGCCAAGGTGGGCGGATCACCTGAGGTCAGGAGTTCAAGACCAGCCTGGCCCACATGGGGAAATCCTGTCTCTACTAAAAATACAGAAATTAGCTGGGCGTGGTAGCATGTGCCTGTAATCCCAGCTACTCAGGAGGCTGAGGCACGAGAATCACTTGAACCTGGGAGTTGGAGGCTATAGTGAGCCAAGATCATGCCACTGCTCTCTAGCCTTGGTGATACAGTGAGGCTCTGTCTCAAAAAATAATAATAATAATAACAAGACTAACTTATTTGATCCTTATAGCACCCCATGTGAGGGGTACCATTAAGCACAGAGATGTTAAGGAACTTACCCAAAGTCACACAGCTGGGAAGTGGCAGAAGAGAGATTTGAGCCCAGACAATCAGGATCCAGAGCCCTCTATGCCTGTCATGGTCTACTGTCTCCCTCTTGTAATGTTGTGAGAGCAGGTTCTATAGGTAGTGAGAGCAAAGAAAGAGCACTGGCCTCAGGCAAGATCATCACAGG